GAGAGATAGATGAAGCCTACTGTTCGGTTGTCTTTTTAAAATTAAAAGCGTTATCTTTAGTAAGTCAGCACAACAAGCCTAAAACAATTAGAACCATTGCGCAGTTATGTACTATGTGATGTACTAAAATTTCTATTAAGTACTTTAATTCTTTATTTTGTGCTTGTTATAAAGTTTAGTAGGGTAGACTAGGTACGGTTTGTAACCCTTATTATCAGATTTTATTAATTTACCAGTTAAATTGGATAGAAGTAAATTAAAGAGTAGAGATTTGTCTACGTACAAATACTGAACTGTCCTTAGAAACAGATTCAAAGACAGCATTTCTTTAACGTAACAAGCCTAAAACAATTAAGACCATTGCGCAGTTCTGTCTTGTACTACGTGATGTACTAAAATTTCTATTAATGTACTTTGATTCTTCATTTGTGCTTGTTATATAATTTAGTAGGGTAGACTAGGTACGGTTGTAACCCTTATTATCAGATTTTATTAGTTTACCAGTTAAGTTGAATAAAAGTAAAGAGTATTTTGAAATTTGTCTACGTAGGAATACTGAACTGTTCTTAGAAACGGATTCAAAGACAGCATTTCTTAACGTAACAAACCAAAAACAATTAGCACCAATAAGCAATTCTTAGCTTCTATTAATCTAGGTTCTTTGATTCTTTATTTCGTGCTTCTAATAAAATTTAGTAGAGTAGACTGCGTACGGTTGAGCTACTTTATTTCATCAGCAACAATTTTGCTAATTTACCAGTTAGAAGGAATAAAATAAATTAAAGGGTAATTTAAACGTTTATCTACGTGGAAATACTGAAATACAAGTCCTCAGAAACGGATTTAAAGACAGTATTTTCACAGTATAAGGACTGTACACACCACTAGAATCGTCGTGATAGGCGTAAACATAGATAAAAAAATTGCTATAAATACCAAAATGATTTAAACATAATCATTTAAACAGTTATATAAATATATTACAATGGAATATAACAAAGCATATTTTTTTAAACAAGTTGACGAGAAATCTTTGTGAAATCTTTATCTTGTTTTCAATTTCCTTTTCCTTTTGCTTTCGTATTTTGAATTGGTTTAATTAGATTTTTCTCTATTTGCATAATTTTCACCCGAAAAGTACAAGAAATATATGTCACAACCGTATCCAGAAAATTTGTCCTAACCGTACCCAACGTACACTTTTGAAAAGAATTAATCGTTATGACTAAAGTAAATTAACTACGCAAAAACTAATTACTATAGTGATTAACTAAAGCAAACAAATAAACATAGTGATCTGTCTGCATACAAGTAGGTAACAGTTATTTTTAAAAGGAATCGAATATTAATACTTACTTAAAAGCAAGCAGAAGGTGTTAAAATGCGTGCTGACTCAATGTAATAACGTAAACTTGTTCGAACAAACATACTCTTTAGATCTTATTTCAAAATCAACTGTTATGATGAGGAATTAGGTATTATAATGATTTATAAGGTATTTATTATAAATATCATAAAAAGCTAATTATTCTGCAGGATCAGACAGTGTCAGAAGCGATCTTTATCAGATATAAAAATAATAATATTGTCCGAATTATTCATTTTTTATATATATTTATAAGAGTTGATATTTTACAATTGCAAAATATTCAAAGTATTTCCGTTCTTTGAACTTGCTGCAGGAGTATCCATACATTTTATGGTGAAACCAAAGCAAAACAATATTTATGCTATCATAAACAGTCGCCTGAATGAATGAATACAAAAAGTGCGAAATGCATCAACACGAAAAAGATGACTTTTAAGACAAAAAAGACTGGTTTATAATTTATACATAAATAAAATACTTTGCACGTTTACGGCTGTATTTAGCTAAATTATTTAATTAATATCCGCAGCACTTTGAAACCTTTGACTTCGGATAGACCTTTTTTTGTATGTCATTTCTTTTTAGTTTTCAGTGGTGTACATATTTATTCTAAATTTTCGATTAATTTGTTGATCTGAATAAACATTAATATTTATTTAATATGTATGAAGTATAAATACTTATTTACAACTACTTGACAGTTAATACATCATTTACTATTCTATATTTTGGACATTTTGAACTTTTTAACTTCCGAAGGAGAAGATTAGTAAGAAGTGTTCGAAAGATTAGTTTTTGGTGAAAATCTACCGAGCCATTTTCTTGTAATTAACTGTTGAATAAAAATTTTAGGACGATTTTTATGGAACTTTTTTTGGCGATATATATCATGGTCTTATAAAACTTACTGAATTATTACGAACTTACGACAAGTAGTTTAATTTTAAAATTCATCAAAGTTTGAGAAAATGAGTAGTTTTTTTGACGTTTGTTAAAATTAAAATTAGACGACGATTTACTTGGTATAAACATATAGTACTTGGTCTTAATGAACATACTAACCGTTAAAATTGATACACGTTATAAAAATCTCCATAAAAAATCTGATAATTGATGTGCATATGACTAATGATCATTTTTGACTTCAAAATGGCATTTTTTTACTTTTTCACTAGATCTCCGAAACCGGTAGACCTGCCTTCCCAACAATTTAATCAGATCATGTTTTTTGAATTATCAGTATAGTACGCACCGTTCTCTTAAAACTGAGTTACCGTTTTTGGCATTT